ATTTGATATTTCTTTCTTATATATAAATATTGTGTGTTGGTTACAATTGTAGCAAAATATTAATCGACATTCGATGACTTTCATGATGATTAAGTAGTTTCTATATTTTTCGTTATATCAGCCAATAAATAATCTATATATATATATATATATATATATATATATATATATATATATATATATATATATATATATATATATATATATATATATATATATAATTTTCTTCTTGGATACGATAGAAAACACCAAGCTGTAAGCGTGCCTCCTAGCAGCCCCCTCTCTTCCTCTCTAGGCATATCCCTACCACCCCCACTCCCACATGGTCTGGTGAGCTGTGGTTCACATTAAATGTTTACAATCGTAGAGCCGGGTTTAGTGACATCTATTAGGGGCAGATAATTTAGTTTTAAGCTTAGGGGAGGTAAATAAGAGTAGGCTGCTTTCACGGGGGGGGGGGGGAATGAGGATTTTAGTGTTTTAAAGCAAATATTTTCAGTGGCAGCATTCAAATTATGAATTACTGAAAAGTAGAAAATAAAACAATTAAATCGTAAGTTATAATCTTGCTTTGTTAAAAATAAATAAATAAATAAATAAATTAAATAAAAATAAATAAATAAATTTAGTAATTAACGTTTTTTTGGAAGAGATAATGTATAGGTATATACTTTAAAAGTACCTGCTTTTGTTTCTGACAGGCATATTACAGTTAAGGCAGGACAATGATAACTACAAAACGTATTTCGCATCACTCGGAACAGATTTTTCGTTACAGTTCCAAGTAGTTGGCTACCCAACACCAGTGAGCTATTCATTATTGAAACATGACACCAGCACTATGAATACTTGTACGTCAGATTGCAATAATACTAAGTACGCGTGTGAGTACGTGCTAAACACCTTGCCTTATGGAAAAGTCAGTGTAACCATCTTCAATACTGATGAACATGATTTTGGCAATTACACTTTAGCAGTATACAACGGTCTTAATGGCGTCTTTCATATACCATTTGCTTTGGTTCAAGGTACGTATATCATTGTGCTTTCTAATATAGTATTTTATTTTTTAAATATAGTTTGGTGCAACATAGAACCAGATGGTTTTTAACTCTCTTTTTTTGGTTTTTCGAGATTTATCTACACTATTGTGTTCTAACTCCACGAAGGCAGTGTATAATACCAGTTTAGAGGAGCAAGGTTTTGCGCAATCTTCCTAAAAACCGACAGAGTATCCATAACCACTCAGATATTAAATGTATTTTAAATAGTTTAATTAAAAATCTAAAGGAATCTTTATCGAGGCTAACAGCAATCTTTATTTTATCATTGGCTACTTCCGCAACAGAATAAATCAGTGTTTCTTTCAGACTTAATTCTCCGGGGGGGGGGGGGGCACATACATTTTTTGGCGGGGAGTGGGGGCGGACTAAAGTTTCCGGAGGAAACTGTTAAAAGTATATGTTTTCTATATAAATTCCCTTTCGTTCAGTGTGGCTATTGACTTTCTTCGGGGAGACGATGCCTGGAAGAAACACTGGAATAAATTAGTTGCCTATAACACCTCCTCTTCCCAGTTCCCATTTGCATGTTTTAAACAAAGCAGTAAACTTATTGCACTATAGACACTGAAGCTCTATACCGGCGACATAATATTGTCCACATGCAGTTTCATTTGTTGTTATTTAGTTTTTAATGTATGTGTTTAGAACTCTATAAAATGTACAAAAAGACAACCTTCATCATCAAAACACATTAAAACACCCTGGGTGATCCTTCTTCTCAGTACATGATTTACATGTATACTTGGAGCACGACATTTAAATAAGCGTATTGATTTATTGATTAGTTCCACATTATACATTTTTTTAAAAAAGTAAAGAATCATCTTTAGACCTAACGATCTATTGGACAGATGAAGTAGAGTTTATTCACCCCGACATATGAAAGGATAATGTGGTCAGTATTTTGCCTAGCCGCCTTAATTTTTCTAACGTGAGAACTGCGTGGACTCAGGGACGTCTACTGAACTCGAAACACATTTCCATCGCATTATAATTGTTTGCTTAAATGTTTCGCAATTGTATATACATATGCTAAGATTTTTATCCATTGTATAAAAACCAATGTTTATCAAAAACTCAGATGCGTCAATCACTGTTCTAAGTTCACATGCAGAAATAGCAATACCTATAGGTGTAACCATTGGCGGCATTGTTATTCTAGCTGTTATTGTTTTAGTTATCATTAAACGTAAGTATCCTTTATATCAATACAATTATATATCATCAACATACTCTATAACTAATAATTCGGAACATTGTTAAATTTAAAAGAAGGTTACTAATTTTGATTTTATTAATTTTATTTCTAATTACAGGTAATGCAATAAAGACAATTGTAGACAGGTATGTTATTAGTACAAAACATTTATAATCATGTATTAAATTGTATGAATGTCAGGGGGACGGGACTATGTCAAATGGGTGATTGTCCGGGAGCCTTTATATGATAATGGTAAAGTTTTGTTGCCGATTTTTACCCCCTTCGTCCTAGCATTATTGTTACGGAAAGTAAGACACAGATTCACCGTGCCGACCAGCACTCATTTTATTGATTTAGGGGGAATAACTCAGATTTAGTGTTTTCGTTTTACACATCAAATAAGTAGATTCCCTTTGCTATTAAATCTCTATTCAGTAGTTTTTAAATTTTAGAACATTAGATTTTTAAATGCTTTCTCTAAGCAAAGAAAAAAAATGTAACAAGGAGTGGTTAGATCAATTACAAAACAAATTATTTGAATACGTATGTCATGTTATTTATCAAATGTTACTACCAGTCCAACCTCCCAGTCTCACCCCTTCTTACCCTCGTTAGTCTTTTATAGAGAGCGTCTATGTGTCAATTTTTAACTATTTTTTCTATAGAAAAAATACGCCGCTTAATCAAGGTAAATATTGCTGTTTTTACAATTAATAAAATTATAAATTAATATTAATTTTGATAAGTTTTGTAAATTTTTAAGCATTGTATCTGCATCAAAGACTAACAAGTATGTTCTTTGTATTCGTGATTCGTTTAAGAACGAATGACTATTTTATTATTTGTATTAATTTAATGAAACGTTTTGAGGTTTGAAAGTTAAATATTGTGAAAATTAGATACAGTTTTAAGTTGTGTTGCTTTTTAATTTGTTAAATTGGAAAATACATATTCGTTTTTTTTATTCGATTGAATTAGTATTTTCAGTAAAAAGTTTTAATATAAAAAAGTACACGATTTGTTATAAAAATATCCCAACATTATTATAAGCAATCAGACTATATTTGGCCAAGCATAGGGCACCCACGATATCCACTTTTATAGTGTCCACACAATTAAACGTCAATTTACCCAACATTTGTTAAATTATGACTAACATTTGAATGTTTCCCTCTGTAATTTTAATATGATATGATATTATTTACAATATTTCAGCGTAAGCGTTTTTATCAAAGTATCCTTTTCTTCTGTTGTTATTGATTTTTAATAATAAGCACGTTTAAAATAAAATTATGTGTTACCTATTTTCTAAAATTTCTATACAGATAATGTAGACATCAACAGCGGTTTTGATTTGTCTAACATGAAGCCCCGATATGCTACTTTAGCCGGTAATTGTTACAGCTGCAATTTTATTAAATAAATACTTCAATTGTAATTGAATTAAATTGTAACATATTTTTATCCCCATATTTTCAGCTGTTCAAGGTTCTGAATCTTTGGAAAAACCACCAATATATGACAAATTAGAAACATCAGTGGATGATATAGGTTTGTTAGGCTACGTGTTTAAAATATGTTTACTAAAATTGTTAAGTGATTGAGTTATTTTTTACTCTGTTCATTTGAAATATTTTATTGAATTTTAGAACAAAAAAATTTATATAACGCAGGTTTCAACTAAATTAAAAATTCTTCTATTAGGCACTAAAGCTGATTACCTACAAATTAACGTCCCGACAGAATATGATCCAATTGACTACAGTCAGTTTGAACCTGGTTTGTACACGTTAAATATTTTACATATCGTTTACTTGTATGGCAATATGTTTGTGTACTTAACTTCCATTTCAATTGTGTTTGCTCCAACAGAAATACAATACGAACATGTCACGGTAAACCAAGAGACGACCTACCAAAATGTTGGATAGGAGATTCAAATCTATTAACACTTAGAAGATGCTGGTTTAAATAAGTGAATACGTATATTCAAATATAAGCATATGTACTTAAGCAAATACTAAAGTGGCTCGCCCAGGACAGAGTGGAATGGCGGAGATTTGTTGCTGCCATATACTCCACAGGGAGTGATGAGAATTAAGAAGAGAAGAAGAAGACTTAAGCAAATCACTATATATATATATATATATATATATATATATATATATATATATATATATATATATATATCAATATAAGAAATTAATTATCTATCAATTAGTGTGTTAAATAAAAACGTAGAAAGGTTGGCTAGACACAGAACCCATACATTAATAAAAATAAATAGTGCAAATTCAAAACCTGTATATAATCTATTGTATGTATTAACAAAATTCATTATATATTTTTTTTTATTTTGCTTCAGACTCGAGATATGAAGTTGTATGTATCAAATAACTCCAGTTTGCTGCAGTATTCAATGTAACTCAATTATTACAGCTAAATACATGTATCCAAAATGTTCCAAAATGTAATGTTACTACCCAATACAGTTCTTTAAATCGTGTTTAATATACCAGAGTTACCGTAACATGTTAAAAAATAAAAGCTAATTAGATATTTTGTTAAAGTTCCAGTTTGATTTTAATTCATAAAAGAAAATATTTTTTTGTAATTAAAAAATATTCTTAAGAAACAGCTTCAACAATCTAACTTAAAGAAAATAGCCCCCTCCCCCTCCCCCCCCCCCCCCTTCCACACACACAGACACACCTATTTTTTAAATTTTTCTAGTTAATATACTAAATTTATAAAATAATGAAAACCATATTATAAAAATATGTTAATATGTAGGCTACATATGATGCATAAATAATATGTCAAAATTATAAACACAAAACTATAGGTAAAATAAAGTGAATTTACAATATAAACATGGTGTGTTTAAGCATTAAATATTTGACAGCTCATCCGTCTTTCATTTTAGTTCTGTTATTTTCTATAAATACTTGTTTAAATTAGGTTAAAATTATTTTCCAATTGAGTCTCCTAATGCACAATGAAAAAAAGTATAACAATTAAAATTTTACAATTTGAAGCAGTTATATTTTCCTGGGGGTATTTTTATGTGGCTAACGTTTACACCATTGAGTTAATTACTAATTATTGGAAAATACAAAAATCGTATTAAAATTAATTGTATAAACATTTATTAAGTTGCGTTTATTTAAATTTAATCATTGTGTTTGCTCGTGTATTTTACTTGAACTCCTTCTTTACGTTATGGAAACACTTTCATATGTGTGTTGTGCTAGAAATAAAAAAAAAAGTATTTTAAACATTGTGTTTATTTCATTATTACGTGTTTATAAATCGTATGTGCATAAACATATATTAATTAATAACAATGTGATACAATTGTTGACTTTCTTAGTTGTAATGACTCTAATAATCAAATACATTCTTACCATCAGACATTTGCGTTACATCTATGTGATCGTAATTTACAGCGAAACGCCTTACATCTGTTGCAGGAATGAATCGAAACATGAATAGTTTATTGATAATCATTAATGTGCATTTTTTAAAATGAATTATAGATCGTAACTATTTTCCGCCATGTATGTTCATTACTTTAAACCTAGATATATATTTTGAAAATTAAATTTCGCAATTAAATTTTTTTAAATAAATGAGTGTTGTATAAAATGCCGATTTTGTTTAAAGCATTATTTAACTTACCAGACCCTCTACTATTGATTGCTGGTCGATTTATAGCCTCTATATCAATCTCCACATATCCTTTAAAAAGTTAATGATTCATTCATGTATAAAAGATATAAAATATATTAGTTGTATAGGTGAGGCTGTAGTAAAATATATAAGATATGGTTTATACAAACTACTAAATTACCAGGATCGCCAATAGTTTCAGATATTCTTGAGTTTTCAGTTGTTGCGTTAGCCTCGTACTTTTTACTGCAACATTTCAGCCGCTGCTCTATACTTTTTCCTGTTGATAGACGATGTTTGCTTGAATGAATTAAGAAATAGTATGTTTATTTGTGTGAATTAACTTTAGCAAATTCTCGTATTTGTGTTGCCTGGTAGCTGCATCAACTGATTAGAAGGTGTATGCAAATCGCTGGCGTTTAAATATGAACTAGCCCTAATGTAGAAGGCAAAATATTCATCGCATACAGAATAACAACTAAAATTATTTTTTATTCAATTAATCACTTTACTTCTGCTATGTGTGTTTTTCAAGGTGTAGCAAAAAGCTTTATGACGGAGCGGTGGGAGCGTAGAGCTCAAAAATATCAACCCGAAACACGTGAGTTCAGATCCCTAGCTCAAGATGTTGGATACACAGAAATAGATTAACCACACTTCACCTGCCTCATGTTCTTTGGATACAAACAGGAAAAGATGACAAACACTATTTTGTGTAGCCAGTGTTTTAAAGGGTAAATTATAAATGCAAACTCACTTTTAATAGCAACGATAATGACCACAGCAATTACAACAATGACAGCGATAATTCCTCCCAGAACAGCTGCTGCCGTGTTATCCACTTCTTTGTCTTTTTCTATTAATGAAGGATCCAATAAAACAAGAGTTATGCTGCTTGCAACAATGCAATTGAAATGTTTTAATATATATTATTAATATTGATAAATATTGATCATATAAACAAAGTACCATCACCTTAAAATGGATAAATTCAAGATGCTTAAAAAGAACAGATTACCTTCATGAATCATAAAATTAATTTTTGTTTCTTTTTCAAATCCATTATACACACTGAGTGTATAAGCCGTAAAATCTATAACATTTATATTGTACAAGGCTACATATATACTTCCATAGGGCAAATTTGTAACTATATAATAAAATAAATATTTTTTGTTTCCTGAATTAGAATTATAAACGTTATTTGCACGTCCATTTTCTTTTTTAAACAAAGCGTAAGAAATGGGCGCAGGGTAGCCGTACACATCAAAATGTGTTACGAAATCACTGCCTTGCTTAGCACTAAATTCTCTTTTATTTGTAGATCTTAGTTGTAGGGAGCCTGCGAAAATATAATTTATAAAATGTATTGTTTAATAAATAAATCAACACAACTTTTACAATTATTTACATTTATTGAAAATAAAATCTATGTAAACATATTTTTAATCAAATCAGGTTTTAATTCACTTACACCTAACATAAAGCGAAACCGATCGTTGTTGTGGGTTACTATACACAAAGTTTCTTGCTTCACAAACATAACTGCCGCTGTCTTCACAAGATACTATAGTTGTTGTGTTTGGCAAAACTCTACCGTCCTCTTGTTTGTAAACGACCACATACGCTTGAGGATAGCTGTCTACATCACACGTAAATGTAACAGAAGAGTTTTCATTGATCGTTAAGGATGTTGGGTTAGTATTTGCTGTAAAGCTCATTATTTCAGCTGCATCTGTAATGAAAAAAAAACAATGTTTTCTTTCAAACCTGACGGTGTATGGCGCAAGTGAAGTAGAGTTCAACTGTTTCTGTATAATCGGCATATGAAGGGAAAGTGAATATCTATACTAATTAAATAATTAAATCGATTGTGTTATTTGAAGAAAAGAATGGACACAACTTTGTATACACTTACAAGCTATACGTGGTGTGTATGTTACTGTTTTATTCTGTACAGAAGAACTAAACACATTTAGAACTGTGCAGGTATACGTTGCATTTTTTCCTAAATGTTTATAAAAATCATTAACACATGATTAATACAGTTTCATTTAAAAAAAGAATAACATTTCTTAACAGCACAAAATGCGTATCACTGTCTAAATAAATCAACAGCATAGTTTGATTGTTAAATATAAAATGTATTCTTTTCATTTATAGAACCATATATTATAGAACATTTGTTAAACATTAAATTACAAAATATGAATGGTAATGTAAACTTACTCAAAGTATCAATTACTAGAACACCACTAGCGTTGTCTGACATAGTTCCATTCCAATATGCCTTTACTGGCGGGTTCCCTGTTTGTTTGGTCGTACAAGTACATGTAGCATTGGTTCCAAATTTGATGAAACTGTTATTGGCTATCTTGTCAGATGAAGGACAGTTGGTTAACATCGGCTCTGGGTATGCTAGAAAACAAAATAACCCTTTGATTGTCAGCCATTGGAAACATTTTAATTAACTGGTTGATATGTATATACAATAACCTACTGTATTGATGTGCATAGGAGATTTAAAAAAAAACAAATAAAAACCTACTTAGCTCAATATAGCTTAAAGTAGAAACTGCATATTGTGTGCTACTTTCGCTTGGAAACATGTCAGCACTAATGTTGACCCGTCCTGGTGTTAGCCTATTCATTGGAGCTCTAACAGTGCACGTAGATTTATAATATCCATTGGAATCTTTCGTATGGTTGTATGTAGTCGGATAAGAGTAAAATGGTGTGTTCTGCGTCATAGATAATAGGATAAATACACTATATCAAAAAGATAATAATAAAAACAGAATATATTATTGATTATATGTTATTAGTTGAATATGGGCTACTCAAAAATATGTTGCATTACCTTTTGGAATGTACATACTGCACTAGGGAATATTTTCTCAGTAACACAAGTAAGTACTAGCAGTCGAAAATCCACACTAAAACCGGTATCACACTTCACACCACTAGCTCGAGCTAAAATATATACACACATTTAACATATTAAAACAAGCTTAAAAAAATTGTCATCGGTCTTAAGAATTTAGATTGCAACACGCAATGAGATGCCAAATGTGCATATTTAATTAAATATCTTCTTCTTCTTAATTCCGTTCGTGTCCTAGACACATGGGACGGATGAAGTGGATTTCATCTGATTCATTGACCTCGGCATGAAGGGGTAGTGTGGTCAGCACTATGCCCAGCCGCCTTTGTTTGCCCAACGTAAGTTAGGTACCCATCAGAGCTGGGTGTTCTCGAGACTCTTGGGTTAGCAATCTAGAACTCTAGCACTCTACCGCTAGGCTACGCCTCCCTAATATTTATTTATATATATATATATATATATATATATATATATATATATATATATATATATATATATATATATATATATATATATATATATATATATATAATTTATTTATTTGTATACATTTATTTATTTATTTTGTATTAATAAAGTCAATTTTAATAAAAAAAATTACTACCTACAACTACAAGGTCGCTATATTCTGTATAAGTTGGAGACACCTCACATCTCCACAATCCGAAGTCGTTTAAAGTCGAGTTTTGTATGGTTAGATAAGACAATCCGTTTGTAATGTTGGATGTGTACTTTTGCGCGACGCATGAACAATAACCCGTTGATCCATTCCAATAACAGCTACATTTTCGAATTGTGTTTTGATACCAGGTCAACTGACTGTACTGTACTAAACTTAGTGCATTGCATGTTAAAGTTGCATCAGCAAATTCTTCTACATCGACACATAACTGAAGATGAACTGAAACGAAAAGAAAAAGTATTTTACTTAAAAGCGACTTAATTGTATTATTATTATCTTTCAAGCAATAGGCCTACATGTAGATTTTAAAATTTGTATTACCATTAACGTGTGATAAGATTTTAAAGGTGGCGGTATACATTTAGATCAAACTAATAAACGAATGATTATTAACTTTATATATATATATATATATATATATATATATATATATATATATATATATATATATATATATATATATCTGTGTTTGTATGAAAGAGACATTTATTCTGTATCTAACCCGGAAGAATAAAACTAAAAAAAAATAGCCTTACCACACACCCTTCACCACCGATAGTTTGAAGTGCCCCCAACCCACAACCGGAGAAAAAAGTTACATGGTGAAGGTAGGCTCTAGATCCTAATTTAGTGCTTGCCTGCATTTACCTAGAGCACCCCCCCCCTCCACCACCACCCATTAAATATTGCTTCAATATTTTGCATAATTAAAGAATGTATCGATTGAAAACGTACACGGATGTAGCTTAAGTTTTGGAATTTTAACTGTGGATTAAATTTTCGTTTCTCTCTATATATACATTTGACATACAACTATATATTTTGATTTTATTCTGGGGACCCGTTAATATTTTTTAAACATATTTAGGTTCTGGAATATTTTTTTTTACATATTTATATCTGAACGATTTACAATAGGGCCTTTTGTTTTATGGATTAACGGATGTATGTACAATACAATACATCATAATTACATAATATAATTACCTTGTAAGAGTAAAACTACAAAAAGTTTACAAAGTGATTTCAACACATAAAGCATTGTTATCTTCTCCTTCTGCTCCGTCCACTTCTTAAATGAAAAGAATGTACAGTATATTTATTTGTTCAATATTTAAGAATGAATAATTCTAAATCAAGTTACATCACCGACTTTTTTAAACCTTATAACAAGCACGTAATATCACGATGTCCAATTAAAAATGTTTTACACGACTAGTTATGTACAAACAAATTATTATACAAACTGTTTTATACTATACTTACATTCAGTGGCATGAATCTATAATTTATATATACATATATATATATATACAAACAAATAAATAAATATATATGCAAACAAATAAATATATATATATATATATATATATATATATTATATATATATATATATATATATATATATATATATATATATATATATATATATATATATATATATATATATATATAGCCTATATAATAATACTTAAAAATTATCACATAATGTATAAAGGAAATAATATATATACATCTCAGAATTTTACCAGAAATACATTTCTATAATTTTCAATAGCAAGACATGTGTTACGCTCCACATACTAGCTGTGAATAAAAAAAAATGTGTTGCACCAAAATTATTATATCACTGACAAAAAAGACGATACAAATGCTTACGCACGACAACCTTTCACTCGGTTTAGCTGTTGTATTGAATACTGTGTAACGGTTTGAAGGGCACGCCACCAGAGTGTTGGCGGTAGCCGTCGTATTAGTCATAAGATAGTTGATTTTTTTATTTTATTTAATATTTAAAGTATGATTAGAAATCATAGTTTAGGTTGGAATTACAATTTATTCTAATTGAAGTGTTAAGTCAAATAGTTATAGACATTGTAAATATTATCCTTTTTTCATTTATTTAATAGAACAAGAAGAATTCTATAGAAGCGAGTTCATGTGTTTGGTATTTTTTTTTAAATCAAAACAATACATTTTTAAAAACAATTGATACAACGAAATAAAGCGAAATAACGGATATAAATGCAAATACATTATTATCAAATACAGTATTAAAATTTTAAAATGTGTTTTCCCCATGTCAAATATACATTTAATTAGGCTATGCCATTCTCAAGAATTGCCATGAAATATATACGGTCAAGGACTGATTTCATGAAAGTTTGGAAATTTCATATGATGTGTACAACTAAAAATCAAACTGATAAAAATCACGTATAAACTAGCCATCGTTTTAATACATATGTTGATTTATTCTTTGTTACACTAGAAGTTACCATCTCAATAAGTATCGGATTAGTTAACGATTCAAGAATCTATACATTAGATAAATACATTAGTTACAATGGGTATAACGTATCATTCGCTAAAATATTTATTAATGAATTTACTCTACTACATAATTATTTCTAGGTTTATTGACTTATTACTTTTACTCTCGGCTTATGCTGTAGTCGAGTAAAATGATGTTCCTAGATTACAACACTGTAATGAACAAGTGCACTAGATCACCTGTAAGGCTGGTCCTTATGTTCACAACAAACACACAAATAAGACTGCTGTCCCAAAAGTCAAGAGTTCAAGTCCGGGTTCAAGTCCGTAGAACTGCCCTGTGTCCACCCCGTTTAATTAGTTAATAACTAAATCACGTTAGCTAAATTAAAGGCGGCTGTTCCTATTGCTTTTCACACCTTTCCTTCATATCCTAAGATCACATTATCATGTAAACGCTAGTTCACTTGGATCATGGATCGTTAGGTTCAAAAGCAAATTTACAACGACAGATGGTATAATAAGAATGAGCTTATTTAATTGTAATTGGTCTAGAGAATCCGCCGAAAATAAAGCTAGCCATGCAATTGAAATCAGTAGACAACACTGAGCACATTGATGACCTACTTTACAACTGCACTGTTTAGTTAGCATAAATGTGTAGACAATAAATCACATAACTTGATGTGGCGTGTAAGGAGTTGTTGAATACATTCGATTGGAATATTTAAATATGTGTATCATATGATATTAAAGTGAATTAAATGTGTGTGTGTGTGTATGTGTGTGTGTGTGTGAAACCTCGACAATTGACAATGTTAAGCATGTTAAATGTAATACACAGTGTAACTTTTCATGTAACCATATATAATGTGTTAAATGTAAATCGTAAAAAAGAAATTGAAGTTTATATTCTAGAAAACATTTCGATATATTAAATACTGGTTAAATGCAAACAAGACTAGTCTTTTAACACTAGTAACGTGTTAAAGTCAATTAATATAATACGTTTATGAATAATAATGCATTAATATATACGACGTTTTTATTGTATGTATTATTTGATACTTGTTCTTGGTCCAAAGCATTTTATTTTATTTTGAGCGAGTAAAATTAAGCAGCCAAAAATGTTACATATGAAATAGTTTTGACACATATAACACCATAATAATCACATTATTTTTAGGCACTATCTGTGTGTTGCATTTGGACCAGGAAGTAAAATTAAATAGTGTTACCTGTTCAAAGAATGTAAAGCTAGATACATGTGTTGGAATTCAAGGCAAGAAATAAATTCCTGTGTATGTTTTGTTCGTGCTTACAAACTAACCGTAATATTAATTGCAGCACACTGGGCTTCAAATGAAGTTGACACTAAGGCTAATCCCCGCTGTTTGTTTAAAAAAATTGTGGATTTCTGATTTTCGATTGTTTATGTATACATGAATAAGCATTTAATATGAATAAGTCCTAGAACTCATTTATGAGAAGCATACATCTTCTGTTTCGATCTTAGAATGATGACACAATTTAGTAAAGCTCAATATTTTAATGTGCATCAAATAATTTTATGTAAACATATTTATCTTTTTTTCGAAATGAATGCGATCCTGTTGGTGGAGTTCTAATGTCTCTTGTGAGGAGAGTGGGGGGGGGGGGGGGTCTGATAGGTCTACACGTCCAACATCTAGCTTTTCTTTTTTTTTACCGCCCAGGTTTATGCTCCAAAGCGCAATAATCAAATTGTCCATTATACTAGGGAACCATGTAGCAAGTTTGTGAAATAAAATATTGTTAAAATATGTGCTGAGTAAATAGAAAGAAAGCAATACGTTTATTAATTAATACAGCGAATACAATGAACATAATTATGCATAGGTTCCAGAGAATAGTATTTTGTTTCACTCTATATCCTAATATATATTATCTGTTCACAGTCTGAACCAAAGAAGTGAATTTATGAGAATGTGTCACTGGACATCACTACTGTTTGTTACATTATTCTCCATGCAAATTGTCGTAACAGGCAAGTGCATTAGCTTACGTTATAATATATATAACAAAAAAAGTATGTATACATGTATTGGATATATGTATATATTCGTATCTATTTCTGTATATGTATGTCAGAATATAGGTATAAAAAATACATCGATGTTTTACAGGCAGTACATTTGTACAGTGTGACCCATCTGAGATAGGAACAAATCATTCCATCAGCTGCAGTAGCTCTGGTGTTAGTGATTCTATCACGTGGATTAAAACTATTGGTCAAATGGACATAAACTTAGTTCAATGTTTCAAGGACACTATATGTGAGCCGACGATACCGGTGTTTAGCAATAATTTTATGGCTAAAATGGAATATGTAAACAATGTATTCAAAAGTTCTCTTGTTATTTACAACATTCAACAAGCGAGTAATACGACCTACAAATGTTCTTTTGACTTACAACTGCCTGTAGATGTTTGCAGACCTATGGTGTTTTTCGGTACGTAGATTAATTTCTTTAAAAACATTTAGTTATTAGTAAGTTATTATTATTGCTTTCCACAATGAGCCATACGTATTATGAAAGATGTATTATGTCTAGTTCAATTGTTTGAAAACGTAATGTGAAACCAATGTTTGCAAGCTAGTTTTTAATTGAAACGAACTACAATGTAACAAGTATTATAAATGTAAGTGTTTATCTTCTAGACTGCATACTTCATCTTTCGGGTTTCCACAGTTGTTTAATTGGTTGTTGAGTTTATCTAAAGAGCCTCGTCTACTGCTGTTCAAACGTGGCACTACTAACAAATATTCGCTTTCCCTCCTGAGATTTTTTTCAAGTGTTTATCTGTTTTACTTATACCGTTTTGGTTGTTTATCTTTAATTCTCTTCTGTACTCACATGAAAGCACTATTTGTTTAAAAAATAACATATTTGTCATTTTTTTTTTTTGCAATGGTGCAAATATAGTATGCTATTTCAGCTAAACCAGAAGGCTTAACGTGCAATGAAACTGTGTATATAAGCAAAACAAACGTGATTCCTCTTACTTGTTATTTAAGAAAAGTATATCCAGCTGCTACGATGTTGATACGTTCTGCAAATGTTGTAAGTTTGCAATTAACATTGAATTAATATTCCAATCGTGCCAATAAAATAATAGTATTATTTCAAGAGAAGTTTTATTTTAATTTATTAATTGGTTTATTTTGTAAGTATTATATATATATATATATATATATATATATATATATATATATATATATAATTATTTAAAATATTATTTCCGATTATATTTAATTGAAGACAAGGACTTATAGCTGTAAAAATAAGAACATCTCAACTTCCGCTACTGTGATATGCCAAAGTGATCTCCCTATGATCGGATTAAAAGATGGAATTAACATTTTTGATGTACTTGTGTATCCTAGTGTTACCAACGGAGAAAACTTTGGAGCGATGAAACAAATAAATATATCGTTATGTAAGTGGAAAAGTAGCTACGTATCCTTTAAATTTAAAGTTAGTGCTAGGTCTTTAGTCTTTAATGTCGCAAATTAATATTGTGTATTTAACACATTTGGGTTTTAAATAATTTTAGTGTGTTTATCACGTTACGTTGTATTAAATAACGCATACGCATACGAGTTAATTTCGGCTCCAGTAAAAGACTTGGGTTGATGCTTCATTTTTTTATACAAAGCTTTCATCGAGATGTATACATTTTATATATTGCTATACATTTTTACACCTGTACATTTTTAACGGTTAAAAGAGACTGATATTTTAATCAATTTACTTTTTAAACAGCGTTTCCCATTCCCTCACTGGGCCAAGATTGTCTAGACATTCTAAACACAACACAAGGCTACATCAAACAAGGAACACCAGCAAACTGTACTTGTTATGTCAAGACACAGGGGGTACCACCAGGTGGTGTCAAGTGGATCTACGAGAATGGAACTGAGGTTGAGGGTGTAAACAGTGGTCAATCTGCTGTGTTACAAATAATGTTTACCACAAAAGGTAATTTCTTTCTTATGCCGTGTTAATAACAATGATCTATATATTTTTGTTAAACATCAATAATAATAATATAGTACCACGTGGTTGAAGTTGAAAAAAGAAAGGAGAAACAAATTATGTTGAAGTGTTTGCAATGAATTGATGAGAAAACCTTGTGTTAAGAATCTGCAAGATGAAATGTTTTATTTTAAGTTTTGTCACAATTCAATACTAAAGTTAAAATAACCTGCATAATTACAGAGCCAACCATACGCTACAGTTGTGTTGGTGTTTCTGTCTTAGGAGTAGGTAGTGAAGGCTTAAATTTTACAGTATTAAATGCATGTGAGTAAAAATGTAAGAAATGCTAGTATAACAACAACATAAACTGCTTATAAATATTTATTAATAGTCATGTAATTCTTACTGTTTTATGCAATTACATTTTAATTTATTATAGTTAATGGCGTATGATTCATTTACTTTGTCATTGCCACTTTATACGAGCTTCTTATACAAACATTCAGATTAGAGAAACACAATTTACTGAAATATTATTTTAATTTTTTTGTAGATGGACCAGAATCTATTACCCTGTTGAGCAGCGACAACAACACTGTATACGACATTTGTTCATCAAACAATATAATCAACATCATGTGTTCACTTGCAAAACAAAGTGTTGTTCCTGAACCAGACGTGACGATAAAAGTATCAAACACTGAAACATTAACCATCAGTTTCTCATACAACATAAGTCATTACATATTTACTACGTCATACAGACCAAGAACTGCGGGCTATCTGATATTTGAGTGCAGGGCAAAAAATTCTATTTTTAACGAACTGGAATCTACAAAAACTCTTACAGTGTTTGTTGCGGGTAATTACTTACCAGTTAATGCACGTTTAATATACAACTGTTATATATTTTATTAGATTACTCGTTTTATTCATATGTTAATAGTTGAAAGAAACATTCATTTTGATTACAGGTCATTATTTTATTTAATCAGTTCTAATTCGACAATATATCTTAAACAAAACAGACCGCAACAAAACTATAAACAGCTAAAGTATAATTTTTAACATTGGCATTCTTCAATTATAAATGACCATATTTCGATGCACGCTTACCTTTAATAAAAAATAAATAAAAAAGTACATTATTTTATATAAATTATAAATTACTAAATGAAATCTTAATGTTTAACAGTATTAAATGTAATAGTTGCTCATCATATTATTTTATAACTATTTTAACACAGGACCACCATCTCAGCCCCCAGTTATAGCTGTGGATCAACAGACATACACAGGAACCAGTAGCACCACGTCTGTATCTCAGAAAGAAGGATCTGTTATAAATATTATGTGTACAGCTATTGGAGGCTTCCCTGACACTTACACCATGTCCCTATCGTGTGCTGGGAACTATTTTAACACGACTACTTATGCCAGTTCTATTAAATTAGCAATAGAGAATGTGCAAAGACAACTTAATAACAAAGAGTGTATTTGTAAAGCTGAACATGTTACGTCTTGTTATAATAATAACACATCACAGATAACTCTCAACATTACTTGTAATTGCCCTGTGTTTTAAACTCTATGTTCTTATTATGTGAAACCATTTCAATTTTATTTAAATGTAAAATGTTATCAAAGTACTAGTAATTGCTAACATCACCTGTAGGAATGTTGTTTTATTCATCAGATCCAGCAGAAATCACACAATTCACTGCCAACTCTAACAGCAGTTACCTAACAGTTTCTGAAAACTCTACCGTAAAATTTATTTGTGATGCTGATAGTAATCCACCAGCTATGGTAGAGATATTAAAGACAAATGCCATCATCTCTAACATTTCTCAAGTTATTTTCACAAAACAAGAGACCTGTGTGGACAGTGGAGAATATGTATGTAGGGGGCATAACTCTCAATTTACAATACTATCTCAAAGTAATATTACAGTTTTCGTCCTTTGTAAGTTCAATGCAAATGTTTGTGTTTATGTAATACTTTGATACTGTTTTAAAATGAGCAATTATTATTTATGTTCTAATGTGTCATTTACCTTAAGCTGTATACATTTTGTTCGAATTATTCTTTATTGCTATTGTATTCATTTATTTAATCTTTACATTGCTACAAAATTAGTATACATTTATTAATTTAAATATATTTCCACATGCCATCATTATGATTTATAGCTATTAAGTAATTAAAGATAATGACCGTATCCCTATATTTTACCAATATGTAAATCATGTGAAAAAATAGCATTATTTCCATTTTCTAACAGGCTCACAGCATTTACTAAAGGATAATGATAACAATGTGTTTTATGTTAAAAATGGCATGAACACATACATACAGTTTGACGTATATGGCTACCCTGCTCCAAGTTATTACTCGCTATTTAGAAAAGAACGTGGAATAGAATACGAGATTATAAATAGGCCTACTAATGCATCAAGTTCAGTAATATCACGGTACAAGTTTGAATACACGCCTGATATCTTACCTTACGGAAAGGTAGTTGTAGACATCTTCAATGTTTCTGATCAAGATTTTACAAATTATACCTTGTATGTTTTTAACGGTATCGGTGATGGACTTAAGATTGAATTCAGCATTACTCAAGGTACGTAAATAAATACTTCATCTGTCACCAGCAAATGTGTATTCATAGTTATATAATACAATTTCTTTTTATATTCGACGGTGTTTTTATTAAAAATGCGAATGCATGTTAATAAATCAATTTGCACGTTTTGTAAAAATAGTAATATTTTATTTTTAAAAGTTACCATGTATTCTATATACATTTTTATATTACCTAACCCGTATTTTAGATACAACCAAACATACATTGATAATAACACATTTATGCCATGATTTTATGTTTTTATTCTGACATTTATAGTTCCATTTCCAAATATGAAGTGCATTTAAATTTTAAGTGTTTTATCTTTTTTAAAAGTAAGTTACTGAATGGAATTATACTCGTATATTTAAGAGCCTTCTAAATGTTATTATTTAAAAATAAAAATAAAACATGACTTAAGTGTATAATACAGTTTGAAAATATAACCCGAATGATTTCTGTGTTCAATAAACCAGACATTTCAAGTGCTACCAATGGTTCAAGTACGATTATTGGAGCTGCCGTAGGTGGTGCGATAGCTGGGATAGTTTGCATTGCAGTTATTGTATTCATAATTATTAAACGTAAGTTATGTTTTAATGTTTATTAACTAATTAGTTGCACGTTGACGTGACAAATAGTAATCTTTAATAAAAGATATACATATTTAAATGTTTTCCTAAATAAATATTCACCAACTACAATACAAATTATAAACATATTAATTTAGCTGTGTATGATCAATGTCATGTTTGATACTTATGGCAATGGTATTTTATCTTTACAAAGGAAAAAGTATCAGTGAGCTAAAGGTTTGGTAAGTATAGAAATGAAATGCTCAATGTTTGCTTTTACAAAATAGATAGTTCTACCTCTTGTTTTTTTAAAATAAATAATAAGTACTATACTTCTCCCTCTTTCCTTTGCTCTCTCTCTCTCTCTCTCTCTCAATCTCTCTATCTCCCTATATATATATATATATATATATATATATATATATATATATATATATATATGTGTGTGTATGTGTTGTTAGGCAATTTGTCAATATTTATATACACAAATATAGAAATAGCAAGCATTAAAGCATTCCATTAAACACCAATTAAAATAAAGAAAAGTGTGTAATTTTTTTTTTTTATTTCAGCAGAAGGGAAGAAACAGGTAGATAATTTTATTTTACAAGTTACCATTTTTTTTTTCTTTTTTCTTGTACACATTTTTTAAACCTATGCAATAACATTATTTTTCTATATCCACTCTTACAAACAAATGTGTGAATTACATTATAACTAAAATTAATGCATATAAACATTCAAGTAATCTTGCCGGCCTGGATTTGAAGTAGAGTATATCTTTTGATATCGAAGGGTAAATCAACATTATGGTTATGCTTGTGCCCAGTCTCTTTTTACTTTATCTTATTAAAATCAAGTGCTTTCTTGATACTCGTGTCTAGATTCGAATTCGTGAATTGGGTAGCAGTAGAACGCTTTAGTACACTGTAATATTAGATTTTTGTAATAATTTAATTGTAACTTCAAGCTTAATAACATGTTTGTTTAATGTGAATAGATGTGGGTAGAACAAGCAGAGAAGAGGATTCGCCTAAAATTTCATCTGTGGATGTTAACGATACGGGTAGGCCTAAATTCACTTGAGATGCTACATTAATATATATAGAAATAACAAAACATATTTTTGTTTAAATTAAATAACAAAAACATATAATTACAAGATAATTTTATAAGCTATGTATAATATATGTATTAATACATTATTAAACCTCATTTTAAGGTTATGAACAGGTTGATTTACCAGCAAACTACGATAGAGTTGACGTAAACACCAACGTTGATGGTTAGTTATATAACATTTTGTCAATTATTATTTGAATAATCAAATTCTAGATTTAGTTCGCGGTGGTGGACAGACTAGGTGTCGTTTATACATATTTGTGTGTGATTTTTAAAGATATTTAAACTAGATCATCGTATTTTTTAAAGTTTTGAATTTACATTTGATTTTAAAGGAGAAAATGTTCTGTATCTTCAACTGGAAGATAGAGCAGGATACGATCGGATTGATGTCATCCAGTCAAACGTAGGTATGACATCACCCTTTTGTTATTAAAGTAACCTATGGGTCAGAGAAATAAAAAAAAATACTAGCTACGTTAATGATAGTGTTCGGGGACAAAGCCTCTTGGTTCTAGCGTAGGCAGGGGGGGGGGTTAGGGGGGGGTCATAACCCCCATAGACCCCTCGGTATATAGAAAAAGTATGAGGGGGTGGGGTGCAAATCGAAAGTTTGAGGGGGGGGGGTGCAAATCGAAAGCTTGAGGGGGGGGGGTGCAATTCGAAAGTTTGAGGGGGGGGGTGCTAATCGAAAGTTTGAGGGGGGGGGTGCAAATCAAAAGTTTGAGGGGTGGGGGGGGGTGCAAATCGAAAGTTTGTCCCCGGGTAAAAATTGGACCCCCCCCCCTTGAGACGATCCTGGCTACGCTACTGTCCAGGGGGTTTAGGCCGCGGGGTTTATTTTTCCAGAATGGTTTATGTTTGGACATAAATCGCCCGACAAAACCCCCTTGGACAATAATCCACGATTATACACATACACGTAGATACAATACAATATTTTCATATATATATATATATATATATATATGTATATATATGTGCTTTTTTGCGCAGAGGCAATTACAATATTACAATAAAAACATTATTTATTTAATTTCTTCAAAATTACTACAAAATAGCATTAATAGTAATTATATACTTTTGAATTGAATCACCTGTTATAAAAAATCTAGAATTGATTACTTAATATATATATATATATATATATATATATATATATATATATATATATATATATATATATATATATATATATATGCAATAATGTTTTTTTTTTACTTTTTAGTAATTAAATGTTTTATTTTTCACAGACCCAAAATACGAGCAAGTCTCATTTAATCAGACTGGGACGTATCAAAATTGTGTATGAAAAAAACTTAATATTGTGTCCTAATAATGTATTCATACTAATATAAAACTATGTTAGAATGGGTGTGTTTGACATTAGTTCGCGCGATATGCTTCCCTCAAAAAGGCCAATAAAAAACAAAACGTATTTATTTTATGATATGATGAACGCAGAATTGAATATGACTATAAACAAAGCAGTTGAAACTGGAGTACATAAATAATGTGTTATTTGTTATATTATACTATGCAGTGACGTAGCTAGGATTTTTGGGCCCCTATGCAAAAATTATAATTCGGCCCCTACTTCAATCTGTAAATTGTATATTTTGTACGTGCTAATTGTGTATTTGTACGGTATTTGTTACATTTAATATATGTATTGAAAGATTGCTACATAAGGCCAATCATTTAAGTTCCAGCCCTAAACTATTTCACACAGCAAAGCTAAACTACTTTACTTGCAGCATTTTATTGGAACGAGGGATTTGTGTTATTCTTTGAATATTAATACAATGCGATGATACTATTAATGCTTATTTGACTGTTATTTTGAATATAACGGATTTTACACATTTCAGATCATTTGCTTTGAAATTCGTAATACCTTTGATTTCATATCACTTTTATGTAAAAACTAACTCAAAAATTAACTGTAAGCCTGTAACATTTAAGTAACCTAACAAAGTAGCATTGTTGGACGGGGTGGGGGTGACACTCACTAAACGCATTGGGTGATATCGAACCTTGTGACTCCACTAACCAAATACACATTTTAAAAAGTTGCTCATGATTTATTTATATCTTTTTTTTCTTATAAGTTTGCAAAGTGATTCCTTGAAGTCCATTTTAGTTTCTTCTGTATGTTCGATACTTAGGATAGCCAAGTTACTGACCCAAAGGGCATATCTACAACTTGTTTCATAACATCATAATAATGGAGAGACTCGGGGAATCTAATCATATACTACTGTCGAGGCGGCTGGAGGACACCCCTACTTTTCTTTCTCCGTATCCCTAGGGCATGGCGCTCTTTAAAACAAGTGTACGAGCCGTAGTGCTCACGGGGGAGCCCGGGGCGCCGGCTGATGCACCTCTGCAATTTGACCGTTGAATTAAGCAGTAACCCTGACCCCTAGTGCAGAACACACAATTAACTGACCACATGTGCTAAGAAAGCCGCCGGTAAACTGGGTGGCAAACCGGACCACCTTACTGTCAAGGAGCCGCTCTCCGAAAGAAATAAAAAGAAAAGAATTGAAGAAAACCTTACAGGAGTCAGAATTTCTTTCTGGCTTCTCTTCAGGGGGGGGGGGAGGCTCTACTCTTTGAATGTTGGGTTGTGGTAGGAAATTTCACGGTCAGTAGAGGTTAGTCTGAATTATTCTAAGCGACTTCCAAATGTTCTTGGCGATTGGATCATTTTTGTACTAATGCATAAAGGACAAGGAGACAGACAAACAAAAATCTTATATAGCGGCATATTGATGAGAGATAAATTAGATCAATAAACAAATTTTGATTAAGGTTAAAACTAGAAGAAACACATTGACAAATTTTAGACTTAACTAGTTGTGAAAACACTGTCCACGGTCGTTGCCCAAAAAGTACTCAATAGTAATCATCGATGGATGGATAGAATTTCGGTGAGGAAAGAGAATTGAGAGGGGAGGGGTGCAGGTTTGTGGCTGTAGGGTAGAGAGTTTTTAGTGATGCATATACATTTTCGGATGCCGGATGCAAAAGAGTCAATGTTCAAGTTTATTTATAGGCTAATTCTCTTAACGGTTTGCCCGCCAATCCAACAATGCCTATAGTGTTATTAATACCGATGGGCCCAGTACACTCCCCCCCCCCCTCCCTCCACAGGGATAAAGGTCTGGGGGCCTTTTTGGGAACTTTTGATTACTTCTACGATAGAAAAGAAAATGGATTTCCGTTTTCTTTAAAAAAAAAAAATTATAATACAAATATTAAAATTCCAATGTAAAAGTTTTTTAAAATTTAAAGAGGGAAAAGGGCCCCTATTTGCCTTGGGCCCCTATGCCTTGCTTACGCTAGCTTTAAGGTAGCTACGTCACTGATACTATGCTATAAAGTGAAAGCAAAATCTTGATTAAGAATAGATCTAAAAAAATTAAATTAAATAGGAACCCAATTTAACTCTTAATAGCAGTCATCACAGAGGAAAGTGTTGTAAAAATTGCAATATTTGCAAGCTAAAAATCACACATATTTCTCAACGCACATTTTTTCATATAATGTAAATTAAAGATCTCCAGTAAGACAATTACATACTAGTTTTCTGTTTGAATACAGTTTGGTTATGCATATATAGTGGATTTTATTTTATAACTGTTACGATAAATGATCTCTGTGTTTTTTTATAACGTCAATTTGCGATGAAAAATATGGTGTGTTTTGTAATGACATTTTAATGACTGCTTTAATTTTATTCAACGTTTTGATAAGCTCCTTTGTCAGCCAACACAACACCTGCATACGGTAGTGCTGAAATTAAAATATATAAGTACATCGATTTTGATAATTTAATAATTTATTTATGTCTCATTATTTTTATTTAAAAACATGAAGGAATAATGACAATTAGAAAATCTAATATATTTGGTCTAATTTCGAAATACAAATCTGATAAAATATGTATATATGCCTAATCTTTGACATCTTTCTCTCTCTAACTCAATCTCTATCTCTCTCTATATATAATTACCATAAAGATATATATATATATATATATATATATATATATATATATATATATATATATATATATATATATATATATATACACTACATGTACAGACAATAGTAACAATAGTATTTGTTACTTACAAATGTCTCTTTGTTCCAAATCAGCGTGATCATATTCATCGAATGAAGTAATTTCAAGGTAATTATGCCTTGTATCTGATAATGGCATATATTTAAAATTACATAATGTATCCAATTACGTACCATTTTTATGTAAATATGCATTGCATTATTACATATTCTAAAAAAAGAAAATGTATTGAATTATATAAATGTATCAGATTTTTAAGTATTAGGCCTGATTGTAACATAAATTACAAACCAGTGTCATCAGACTGTAACTCTAGTCCGTTAGAACTTCCAGGTAAATCTGCGTCGTTAGGGACATCATGTAGAAACATCACATGTAAATAATATATATGTATAGCCGATACATGCCTAGAAGAAACTCTGATATGAACGGATGTCGGTATTAACACCATGACTAGCCGATCTTTTTTTTCATTAAACATGAGTCATTCACCAAGTACTTCCTGCAGACTCGAACTTGTGAATTCAAAAACTATAAACTCTCTTCACTAAGATATATTATTAAAATAATAATAATAATATATTAACCTTCACTTTGTATTTGATCTAGACTGTCATATGTGCTAACTGCATCAACTTGTTCATAGCCTGCTGATGAACAATACAAAATATTTTTTAACACAATTCGTTCATTACTTCATGTTATGTTTCATAAGGTTAGAGATTATGATGTTTTGAAAGTTTGGAAATAAATAGTGAGGTTGAGTTCTTGACACTGTTAGCAAAATTGTTACATTTTAGTGTGGTATCGTTGATGCTAGGGAGGAAGGTTGGAGGATTCTGTGTCATGTTGTGATAGGGTGAGGAAGTATTTGCCCTGTCGTCGTGAATGTAGTTTTCGTCCAAGTCTATCTAGTGAATGTCACGTGACCATGGCAATAAAGATGAAATGAACCCATGCGATCTTACCATGTCATTTGTCTGGGTTGTTGTCGTATCACCGTAAGTCGTAACTTTGAGATTAATTATATAATGGTTAGGAAATAGCATGGTAGTTTAAACCCTCTCTACA